GTAAGGAAAACCCCACAGTTCTGTTAAAATAAGCTATTTTTAGGAGTGTTCTGTTCAGTGTTTTTTTTCCACAGGAGCGTGTCTATGTTTCTTGAAGTCAATGAAATTTCAATGAAGTCTAAATTATGGCATAGATTGAGTAAGTGAAAGATGTATGTTTGTATCACAATCCTAAGAGTACATGCATTTAGCATCAGAGATTTTGTTAGATAGCTTATACCATTTTGATTGATGAAGGGAAAATGTATTGGTAGGTTTGAACATTTTTTTAAAACATTCTTTTCATGGGGGCTTTCAAAGTCTGCAGTTTTCATTTGAGGTTGTAAACAAACAAACAAAACAAAACAAAACAAAAAAGTGTAACAGTTCCATAAAAAAAAATATCTTATTTTCCACAACATTGTCAAGAAAATTCTCACCAGATATTAAATAATTAAATCTGACTCCCCAGTCACTAGTTAATACCTACTTATATTGCTTTCAGATTCAGATCACATAATTTCACTGAAGCCTGCTTTTTCTTTACCTGCATGATCTGGGAATGTTTTTCTTTTTATGATAATTTTCTTCCATAATAAGTGATATCCTGGATGTTTAAGATAAGCCAAATATTTTACTCTTCCACTGTTATGAGAGTGTATCTGTAAATACATCGGGAAAAATATGCTTCATTATACCTATTGCACTTGGTGACCTGCTTTGTTGTATAGATAGGAATTGAATTTTTCACTCTCTGTTAAAATTAGTCTTTTTAAACTTGGAAAATCCTCATTATTTCTCTGGAGATATGACACAAATACATTTTCTTTTCATTTTTCCACTTCCACATGTTCCCCTATAAAACACTTTGATATACCCTGTTTGGTGATCCACCAAACACCCTTTCAGTGAAGCACTGAGTGACTGATCCTTTTTTAGACAGTTTACTGAATGTGCATGATCAGGAGTTGTATTCCCTCCTCAGCATCTCTTGTCACTTTTCCTCCTTGTATGTCCACTTGAATTGTACACATAGGGCTTATTTTCACAAATTCTGGGTAAGAGCACTGGATCAATAAATCCACACCAAGTACCAGTATATTCTGCTGTCTAAGTACACCAGCAAAGAAGACAAAATTCATTCAAGCAGGTTTTTCAGACAGCATGATTTACTTCAGCCGACTCTACCCTTAATACTTTTTTTTCAAAGCTACAGGAAGGAGATTTGAGTACATACAGCAAGTTCACAAAGAGCAGCTTTCAAGCTGCTTTTAGAGAAAAGAGTATTTTTAACTTAAGCATCAACAAAGTTGTTCCTTTAGAAAATGAAGATTCTCTGTAGGTCTAGTTAAACCAACTTAACAAAGGGGATAACACCATGTCTAAAATATTTACATTTGATCAGAGTCCCTTTGAATAAGGAAAAAATAATAATAATAAAAGATCACTAGTTTATTACTCTTTCCTAATGATCTAGAGTGGAAAGAGATACCTAAACTATTAATAGTAATGTAGAAACTCAGACTGCAAAATCAATACATCAGCTCAGTAAAGCTGAGCTTCTTTCTAATGCTGCTGTTCCAACAGTAGAGCTTACCTTCCGAATCATATATGTATTGACCTAATTACATAAATATTGACTTTGCTTTATATGAAGGTTTTTTCAGTCGCAGTGTAATTACAATGTCAATATTTGTTGCATGTAATAACACTGAATTTAGACTTGTTAATTTTGATATATGGTGACATGCCACAAGTTATTATATGGGATAAGACAGTTAGTCTAGAAGTATGCACACCAAATATAAGCAGCTGGCAATGCTGAATGTGACCAAGACCTTCTGTTTCTGATTGTTTAATCAGACAGAGGAAATACACTGGGTGATTACAACCTTGTTCCGTACAAAGCACCATTTTGAGATGGAGAAATATTTACCTTGGTCTTCCCTGGTTCAAAAAAGTAAAAATATTCAGCCAGGAACTCAGTAAACGTGCTCCTGTTTAAAGTTAACTTGACAATTTTGCCTTACAATATTGTAAACAATGTTTAAATTGTGTCAAAATTGAGGCTTTATGTAGCAACAAATACACTTTGCTGCACACCTTCCACCAGGTATATGTCATTTTAGAATAACAATAGGACCCAAATACAAGCAATTTACATTGAATTATTTCCCTTTTCTTTCAAATCCAAGAAAGATGTGAGCAGTGGACTTTTAGATACTGCTGGGATTTGTAAAACTGTTCATTACAGTTGGGAAATGTTTGTTGATTTCTACAAGAACTACTTTGTTAGAGCTGGCAGACCTCTGAACTACTTTCAGTGATGAATAGCCATGTAATACAGTGTATGTTCCTAGATGCAATTATACAAGATTTTGAATTTGGCAGTGACATGAGAAACAGAAACCGAACTGTGACAGTCTGTGTGTGTGCTGAGGATATTTAAATTTGTTCTAGCTATAATGTGTTGCCAGTAGAGAAAAAGCATGTATCATACTGTATTTTCTCATTTGTCTCAGCAGGGATGCCAGACAAGACAAACCTCAGTGACGTAAAGCAAATCCATCAAACCAACGATGGCAGCACTTTAGACACAACTGGAGCAGGATGTACAACAATGGCTGGTTATATGACATTTATGCTGATTAGTTTGGTAACAATATTTCTCAGTCTTTTGTAACTGTTAACTTTGGCTTGATATATGTGTCTCATTGTCATCTGTTTATCCCCACTCACAAGCCTGGAATAAGGGATCAGATGGATATAGCAATATTTATGCTAGCTTCTGTGATATCAACCTCTCTGATCTTCGGCCTGAATATTAACAAAGTTGTTTGTGTAATATTTTTCTTGTGGGTGTTTTGTTCGTGGTTTTGTTTGGTGGGTTTTTTTAGTACCTGTATAGTCATGCAAAATAATGTATACTTTTATAACATTTTATGTTAAAAATAAGTTGACTATGATAATCTTCCTACTAAAAGCAATTTGTTAAAACGAGAACGCAGAAAACACCAAGTCATGGAAGGGGACTCTGGAGATAATGTAGCCCAACCCTATGTTCAGAGCAGAGTCAACCACAGCAAGCTGCTAAAGTCAGTATTTGAATGTCAGCAAGGATAGAGACACTACAACCTCTCTCGACAACCTGCTTCACTGCTTGAACACTCATTGCAAAAAAAGGCTTTTCTTACATTTAAATGTTATTTCTTGTATTTTGGTTTGTGCCCATTGCCTCTTTTCCAGTCACTGAGATACACTGAGAAGAGCTTGGTTCCATCTTCTTAACTGCCCTTATCAGGTACTTATGCATTTTTATAAGATTTTTATAAGATTCCCCCTGCATCTTCTCCATGTCAAGCAATCCCAGCTGTCTCGGCCTCTCTTTGTATAAGACTTGTTCCCATCCCTTAAAAATATTCATGGCCCTTTGCAGGACTCTATCCGATATGTCCATGTCTCTCCTGGGAGCGCAGACCTAGACACAGTACTATACTATACTATACTATACTATACTATACTATACTATACTATACTATAGATACATCTCACCAGTGCTGAGCAGTGGGGGAGGATCACTTTCTTTGTCCTGCTGGCAACATTTTTCCTAATTCAGCCAAGGAACTGTCCACCAGGGCCTTCAGGTCCTTCTCCGCAAAGCTGCTTTCCAGCCTGCCTGCACCAGCATGCACTATGCATGGGGTCGCTCCTCTCAAGGTACAGGACTTGGCATGATGAGGTTACTATCAAGAGACTTAATTAGTCTGCCCAGGTCCTTCTAAATGGGAGAACAGCTCTTTGGTGTAACAGCTACTCCTCCCATTTTTGCATCCTCTATGAGAACTTGCTGACGGTGCAATCAATTGCATTGTCAAGGAGATCATGAAGACATCAACCAGTATTAACCCCTGGAATAAACCAGGAGTATCTGTTCTTCATGTGGACTTTGTGCTGCTATTTGCAAGCCTATATGCAACTGATAACAACTGAAGACACAATTGCTCAGCACTTAATGAGTTTTGTACTTAAAGTCCTACTTTCTGGGACATGATCTATGTAAAAGAAAGAATTCCTTTCTGTTTTTCTCCAAAAAGGAAAAAAATCCAGTGTAAACTTAGCTAATTTTAGTAGGAATTACTTTTCATAGTTCAGAAAAACTGCATATCAAATACAGTGTATATATATGCAGGTACATGTTTAACTGCGTTTTATCTAGAGGTAACAGCAAGGTTAGGATTCACTGTTGGACTAAGGTATCTTAATCTATATGTCTACATACAGATACTTCCATATGAGCTATGTATCTATTACATATCAGCTCTATAACTCTAAGTTGACACTGCAGTCAGTTGAAATATAGGGTAACATTCCAGTGCTAAAACACCAGTAACCTGTGCCAGTTAAGATGTTGTAGATAAACCCTACCTAGTGTCCAACTGCTTCTCTGAAGGACCTCAGATCTTTTTCTGGGCAAGTAAGTTTGAGAGGCTTTATTTGGTATAACAAAATTATTTAATAATTATTTCATGAGGTCTATTTGTAATTATAAGCATGAAAAACATAGCTCTCTATTGTCAGATTTCTTACCCATCCCAATGAAAAATCAAGTCCTTTGTCTTAACTCATTAAAGATCCTGTGTGTTTTTATAGAATTTGCATTATGCAAATAGGTCACTGATAACCTCAGATTTTCTATGCTGTTTGAATGCTGATGTGAACGCAAAGTGGAATTTTATTTGAAGATATGCAATTTGCATTCATCTTGCCAGGGATGTTAAGAACAATAAAAAAAGCTTCTTTAGGTATGTTGCGGAGAAGAGGACATCCACGGGGAGTGTAGGAGTGTAGGTCCTCTCCTGAAGGAAATGGGCGTGATAGCAACACAGGATATTGAGAAGGCTGAGGTCCTCAATGACTTCTTTACTTCAGTCTTCTATGGCAAGTGTTTCAACCTCAACAAAAAGGCCACAGAAGGTGAAAGCAGGGACTGGGAGAATGAATTACCCCCCACCATAGGTGTAGAGCAGGTTCGTGACCATCTAAAGAAGCTGAAGATGCATAAATCTATGGGAACTGATGGGATTCACCCACAGGTCCTGAGGGAGCTGGCAGATGAAATTGCTAAGCCTCTGTCCATTGTATTTGGGAGGTCATGACACTCTGGTGAGGTTCCCGCTGTTTGGAAAAAAGGCAACACAGCCCCTATTTTTAAAAAGGGGAAAAGGAAAACCCAGGGAACTACAGGCCAGTCAATCTCATCTCTGTGCCTGGCAAAGTCATGGAGCACATGCTCCTGGAAAGTCTGCTAAGGCACTTGGAAAATAAGGAGGTGACTGATGACAGCCAACAAGGCTTCATTAAGGGCAAGTCATGCCTGACCAGTCTGGTAACCTTCTACAACAAGGCTACAGAGATGGTGGATGGTGGCAGAGCAACTGATATCATCTACCTGGATTTGTGCAAGGTACAGTATATATTTCTGATACAAGATTTTATTATCCTGTCATGACTAATTTTGATATCATTTTAACCAGAAAATATTAAAGAATATTTTGTAGTTATTTCTCCTTTACATTCCTTTACAAGAAGGGAAAAAAGGTACAGTATTGTGCGCACATACTGTGCCTAGAACTTTTCCTAAACTGTAAAATAATACATTCATAGAAGATTAATATAAAAGAAACCCACATATGTAAATATTTTTACTTCCAAATGCATGCATTAGTCCTTAGTGCACACAGTATAATATAGAGGTAAACAGATATAAAATTTCAAATAAATGCAAGTGAACATTTCTAAGAGCAATTCCATGCCTGATAAACAAAATTAGTAGTCATGTGTGCTGGTGTGTCCATTTTACTTTACCTCTTTTTTCTCCTGCTGGTTTTGTAAACCAGTCCTTCAAATTTACTTGTCTTGTTTCTCAGCATACACTAAAATTATAACATTGGTGATTCAGGGAAAGAAAATCAGATTTTGTTCTTTTCCTTTTTCATACAAGCTGAAATCAGTAACCAATCTAATCCAACAATGTTTTTTTGAACAATGACCAACACCAGCCACTTCAAGAAAAACAGAATAAATCTTTGAATGGGAGATTCAGAAATGAGGGAAATAAATGTATTAATACCTGTTACTTAGAATTTTATTTATGTCCTAAAGGATTTTGGTTTTATTCCTCAGTTTTATGTGCAGTTCAAGATGTTACTCATGGCACCAAGTAGTCAAGTTTATAACATTTTAGTCTACAGCACCATGGAAATTCAAGCCTATTTTCAAATGATGATAGTAGTAAAGTCCTAAGGCCTCTTCAGATATGTTACTTATCTGTGTTACTCCTCAGTTTTTTCCTGGCCTGTTCACCTTATTTTATGCACTGCATCTATGCAAAATAATTTCTAAGGTTCTTTCTGGAGTGGAAAATTAGGTCTTTTCCTTCCAGACACGTATGAACAATCCAGGTTTGGGGACAGTTCCCAAAGACAAAATGAATTCAATAGTGGTAGGTCTGGAGTCCTCTCACTCAGCCCTCAGACACAAGACCTCATTCATTCTCCCATCCTATCCACCTCTTGGCACCACCACACACTGCATGTCATTGCCCAGACTCATGCATCTGCCAGGATGCATCATAGTTATTTCATCATCTATAACATGCTATAATGGAATATTTCTGTTTCTTAAAGAACTGTAAAAAAAGCATTAAAATGTCTCAGAGCAAGAAGAGTGCACTTGCCTTATAGGGAGCCAAGGCTGTTTGGTAGTTTGTCTCAAGGTTACTTTGCAAGGGAGGCACATTTGCAAGAAACTGTTGGATTATGGCAGGATGTTGAAGTGTAGCTCCAAGTTTGGCAACTGGGGAAAAAAAAACAAACCCTTATATGCTGCCTCTGTTAAAGGTAGCAATGAAATGAGAAATAGCACTCAGCAGAAAAATCCAGAGTATGTTAGGGAAGCCAGAAGGAGAAATAATAATAATAATAATAATAATAATAATAATAATATTAATATTAATAAT